GGTAAATAAGAGATGAAAACATTATACCACTCTGTACACTCAGTAGTCAAACTATGAAAAAGCAGGTAACAACTAAACTCCAAATATCATGCTAAAAAGTAGAAGGAAGTAAAATCTTGATATTTAAGGAAAAATAAAAGTAGTAGCAAGTAAAAGCGCAAGAAAGTTTCAGAAACAAACCATAATCAGCCACAGTTACTGGACTTCTATCATTTTTGGATTGAACATCTGACTGCAGCAAAGCCTTTTGCACTTTCTGAAAGATTAAAAACAAACACCCAAAAGAAACCCAAATTCAGCTTCTTCATATACACTACTTACACGATCAAAGCATCACCATATATTTTCCTTATATATAGTAAAGTCTGGTAATATCTGAAGAAAAGCCTAAACTTTTAACCCACTAACTGTAAAATACAATTCAGCGACTTCAATTCCTTCCCCTGATAATAGACAGGTTGATGTTTCAAACAATCTATGCTTTAAAGTAACTATCCAAAATGAAACAAACTTAAAAAAAAATTCAAGTAAAAATCGGAAAATATGAGAAACATACAAAAAACCCAAATCAAGGAAACAACAAAGAAAAATGGGTCTGGCTGAAAAATCAAAGAACCTGACAGAGACGAGCAGCAAGTGAAGCAGCTTTCTTGGCAGCAGCCAACTCTTTATCATAAGACATTGCAACAACCACAGAAGAAAAACGAGAAGAAGAAGGAGGCAAGCAATTAAGAGGAAGAAAATGAGGTTTTTTTATAGAGGGGGTTACAAATTTCAACCAATTTAAAGACATAGTGATTGAATATAGTAATTAATTTCAATTAAATTATTTAAAATTTTTCGTTTTTTTTTTTTCTTTTTTGGGGTTTACTAGTAATAAACACTCTCTATTCAGAGAGCACAGCACAGTCAGTGTATTGAATTTTCATTTTTCACGTGCTTCTTAATAAACAGATTAGTTGGACATGAATTGTAAAATATGACCCACACGAAATTGATTGGTCGTTGAAACCTAAACGTTTACTAATATTTTTTGAGATTTTTTTGTCATTTTCAGCTCATATTTGTTGAATAATAGAGTAGCTAATTATAGAAAGTTTTTTTTTTTATTTCCATTTTAGTGTTAATTAATTGTTACTTACTAATTGTTACTTACTAGTAATAAATTGATAGAGGTCAACAGGTTTACTACTTCATAAGGCATAATACTAGAAAAGAAAAAAAGTTCTTAAAATAGAGAGGTTTCCATATAGTAATTTCTAAGCCATAGAAGGGAGAGAGAGAGAGTTTGCAAATGGGACGGGCAACCACCAAAATGAACCATAATTCCTCCCTCTTCCGCGACGTTGTTTCCTCTTTGCAATCAACAAACAATATCAGAAAAATATTAGTAATTCACACGAAACCATTGCCGATTTCCGGTCAAATCTTGCTTTGTCGAAACAAGGAAAAGTTTTTTTTTTTATATAAATGATAGATATTATATATAAATATCTCATGGATGTTGTAGTTCAGTTATAAAGTGAAAGGGTGGTACTGATCGGTGGCCGACCGAGGCGGTGACGTTGGCGTTGGTGGTGCTGGTGGTGGCGGCGACGGTGTTCGAAGCGGCGGCAGAAACGCAAACATGGAGGTACCAACGAAAGTACACACGGTGGCGAACAAATCAAACGACACAATCGTTTGCTATGCACCAACCATGATAACAACAAATGGTGTTTGGCAAGGTGATAACCCTCTCGATTATTCGCTTCCTCTGTTTATCCTGCAGTTGACATTGGTCGTCGTCACCACTCGCATTTTCGTTCTTGTTCTCAAACCCCTTCGCCAGCCACGAGTCATCTCGGAAATTCTTGTGAGTAATTATATCAAAACTTCAAAGTTGATATGCAAAAGTTGATATGCATATGCAATAGAAATTGGGTATTTTTTTTGTCAATCTCATGGTTTATAAATTGTGTTACCTTGTTGGGATAGGGAGGAGTAATTTTAGGTCCATCAGTGCTAGGACGGAGCGCAGTATTTGCCAACACGGTGTTTCCATTGAGGAGTGTGATGGTTCTTGAAACAATGGCGAATGTGGGTCTTCTTTACTTCCTCTTCCTGGTTGGTGTAGAGATGGACCTTTCAGTGATTCGTCGGACCGGGAAAAGGGCTATGGCCATTGCTGTTTCCGGCATGATCTTGCCCTTTTTAGTTGGTGCATTTTTCACATTCATGCTCCATGATAGAGTTGAAGATAACCACAATCATGGCACATACATCCTCTTCCTAGGTGTTGCTCTCTCTGTCACGGCGTTTCCGGTGCTTGCTCGAATCCTTGCGGAGTTGAAACTCATTAACACAGATATTGGCAGATTGGCCATGTCTTCTGCTTTAATTAATGACATGTGTGCTTGGATTCTCTTAGCTTTAGCCATTGCCTTGGCTGAGAATGATAATGCATCCTTAGCTTCCCTTTGGGTGGTTCTTTCCAGTGCAGGCTTTGTTGTCTTGTGCATCTTTGTTGTTAGGCCAATAATTTCATGGATGATTCGACGAACCCCTGAAGGCGAATCCTTTAGTGAATTTAGTATATGTCTCATTCTCACCGGAGTAATGATTGCCGGGTTCATTACAGATGCCATTGGGACACACTCTGTTTTCGGAGCTTTTGTTTTTGGTCTGATTATTCCAAATGGACCCCTGGGAGTTACTCTTATAGAAAAGCTTGAGGACTTTGTATCTGGGCTTCTTCTGCCTCTCTTCTTTGCTATTAGCGGGCTCAAGACTAATATAGACTCCATTAATGGAGGTCGAACATGGGGACTCTTAGCACTCATTATCTTTCTTTCCTGCACTGGCAAGGTTGCAGGCACTCTTCTGGTTACAACTTTTTACAAGATGCCACTTATTGAAGGATTTGCCCTTGGCTTGCTCATGAACACCAAAGGCCTCGTTGAAATGATTGTTCTTAACGTTGGCAAAGATCAGAAGGTACACTTGCTCTTTCAAAATTTTACCAATTATTAGCTTTTCATCACATGCCTAGGCCATTGATAGAAACATTGATTTGCAGGTGTTAGATGATGAATCATTTGCAATCATGGTGATTATAGCGGTAATTATGACTGGGACAATCTCACCCATTGTAGCAAACATTTACAAGCCATCAAGGAGATATGTAGCATACAAACGTAGAACAATTCAGAAATCAAAACCAGATGGAGAGCTACGAGTGCTGGTGTGCGTCCACACCCCTCGAAATGTCCCAACGATAATCAACTTACTTGAAGCCTCTAATCCCACCAAAAAGTCTCCCATATGCATATATGTACTCCATCTGGTTGAACTCACTGGACGTGCATCTGCCATGCTCATCGTCCATAACACCCGCAAATCTGGTCACCCGGCCTTAAACAGAACTCAAGCTCAATCCGACCACATAATCAATGCCTTTGAAAATTTTGAGCAACATACAGGCTGTGTCTCCATTCAGCCCCTCACAGCCATTTCCCCTTACTCCTCAATGCATGAAGATATTTGTAGCTTGGCTGAGGACAAACGTGTTGCCCTCATAATCATCCCTTTCCATAAGCAACAAACTGTTGATGGTGGGATGGAAGCCACAAACCCAGCATTTCGAACAGTTAATCAGAATTTACTTTCAAATGCACCTTGCTCAGTGGGAATTCTAGTAGACAGAGGCCTAAGTGGATCAACACGCTTGGCAGCACACGAAGTGTCTCACCATGTAGTTGTGCTATATTTTGGAGGACCAGATGACAGAGAAGCACTTGCATATGGATGGAGAATGTCTGAACATCCAGGAACTACCCTTACTGTCATGCGGTTTACTCCGGGTGAGGATACAGCTGATCTTGCTCGGTCAACTTCCACTCAAAGTGACCCACAGATGTTAACTCCTGTGGACACAGGCAGCAATAAGGAAAATCAGCTTGATAATGATTATATAAACGATTTCAGGATGAAGACTGCAAATGATGAGTCAGTTATATACATAGAGAATGTGGTGAACAATGGGGAGGAAACAGTTGCAGCAATAAGGACATTAGACAACAGCCATGACTTGTTCATCGTGGGGAGAGACCAAGGATCGATATCACCCCTCACAGCTGGACTTACCGACTGGAGTGAGTGTCCAGAACTTGGTGCAATTGGAGATCTGCTAGCTTCCTCAGATTTTGCATCGACGGCATCTGTGCTGGTTATTCAACAGTATGTTGGGTTACTGCCAAATGAATCCGCCATACCAGATAGTCCAGGTCAACTAGATTATGATGAGCCTACGAGCCGCCAGACACCACCAAGGGGACCTCCTGTTTTTGACACGTAAAAAATAGACAACATAAGTGGTTGCACTGAAGAATACTGATATGATATGCCCCGGGATGTGCTGGCCGAATGCTGTTCCCGTCGCTATCAGGGGAGATGCCAACCATCTCTCCTTTCTACGAACACGAAGAATACTGATATGAATTATAACAATACATACACAAAACGAAAAGGCTGCTAGTTATGACCTCCATCATAAAGTGTTTTATTCTTCTTTTGTCTTACTGAACTACCATGTCTTTCCACCATATTTTAGATTTATGATTACAAGTTTCATTTTATTTATTTATTTTTTTGTTTACTCTATACATGTACATAAACAATAGAAATATATAATTTACAATATACTTCTATTCTATTAGCTAAATGTTCCAAATTGTTTGCATCTGTTTTACGAAATAAATTAATGTATTTAATCTTTTTAGTTCGGGAACATGAGTGGGGGTATGGGTATTTCTCCTAATCCTACTGCAATGAGATCTGTTATGGGGAATAACTCTATGAGCTTCAATGGAAGAGTGAACATGCCATTGATCCCTCAAGACGTTATGAACCATCAGCAACAAGAATTAATTAACAGATTACTCAATGACCTTGGTGCAGTAAACGGGTTTAATAATCTTCAATTTGATTGGAAATCCCCTTAAACTATCCTTGACGGAACCTCACATCCCGATTCCCTTCACTATTGGCTGAGCTGCTTGTGATATCTGATTATTCAAGACCAAAAAAAAAAGAAAAAAATGAAAATTATTTTAGTGACGAACCTGCTGCACAGCGTAATACAGTGTTATTATTCTAAAAGATAAATGCAGGTCGAAATGAGCAAAGTCCATAATTTCACAATTCAAGATTTGGTTGAAAATAGAATCGCTTCAACTCTATCAGAAAGATAGTTCCATGGTTGGATAACATAAATAAGTGCTTATGAAAGAAGGCAAGTACCTGCAGTAGAGCCCACCCTGTGGGCATGAAGGCTAGTAGGCCCTGAAAGATGTCTCCAACAGTGAAATCAAGGAAGTAAAACAGCATTGCAATAACAACTACACAACCGATAAATAGGAATAGCTTAAGAAGCCTGAACATCAGCTGGAAATCTGCACTGAATTTCTTTCTACCCATGGGCACTATCTGCACATTATAATGTACCAATGTTTAGAGTCAATATCAGGAATCACACAATTCTAATTTTCAGTAAATTACTTCGGAGTTTGAACCTCACCTTCAAAACCATCATCACGGCAACAATGACCAGCCAGGACAGACCTTACACCTGAAGGCTGAAAGCATAAAATAGCAAATAAACACTCTTGGGATCGCAAATTAACATCCCCTAAGATCAAGCTAAAGCTCTAGATTACTGTCTTCCTTTAATGCTAGACATTTACAAGTTAAACAGTGTTAAAAGCAGAAATTTTCGGAGGCAAATAAAGCAGCTCTATACTAATACTCACCATGATACTGTGCCGTATACTTGGCCTGCTCTTCTCGGTCATGTTTAGATGATAGACAATTCCATACTGGTAAATGAAGAAGCGCAGAGAAAGAAGAATCTCCACAAGATGTCCCATAAAACCAGTGTGCTGCAAATGCTCTTGTTCTTCATTCCACCGAGATTCCCAGCTCTTATTTGATGGAACTCCAAGTCCAGTAGAAAAGAAAAATGAAAATACATTCTTTTCACTCTTAACTCCTTGTATTTGTAACGATCAATAACCCTGAACACATGAGCATCTATCATTCTGAGGCATTGATCATGGTTGACTACTTTTGAAACTGCTGAACAAGATTCTGAACACTCAGCAACCATAAGAGCCTGGTTTGCATAAGGCAGATCAAGAAAGCCAAACTGCAAGTTCTTATATTGCTGCAATATCATGTTTAGTGAATGAGATGGAAGACGTATTTCCCAGTTAAGAGATCATACCTGAGAAAAGGCCAACAATTAGCATACAAGACCCATATAACCAGACACTGAATAATGAACAAATGCTGGCAAAGGAGCAGAAGAGATTTAATAAAAAATCTAGAGTACCTCAAAATTCACCTGCCTGTATGCCATTAGCTTGAGTAAAATGTTCATAGAAGCTTTCATACTCAGTAGAGTCCACAATAAATCAATGGTCAGGAGCCCAGTATTTCTGCTGTTTCAATGAAACTTCAAAGTTGTTAAAAGACATCACCTCCATGCACCAAAATCAATGGACTGAAGTGATATATGACCAAGATATAAGTCCTTTAAATGTTTCTTGCACAATCCGATTCGTCTTTTATTCAAGCTTGGATGAATACAACTTGAGAACCCTGTCTTCCAACCTGGAAATTTCTGTCTTTCCATAGCATGGAGAGTGTAAACACTTGGTGCTGCCACTGAGCACCCCATAACAAAACAATTGCAAGGCCTTGACTGGCTCACCATTCTTTCCAGAGACAGCAGGCACAGACCACTAGAAGAAATTCCATACATCAAGGCCTCATCATTTTCAAAAGAGTTAGGATCAGATGTTTCATATGTCAGCTCTGGCTCTACCTCTTCCACCGAAGGGATTCTGCATAGTTCTGAATCAAATTGTTTCTCAATTTCACATTCATGAATCCTATATTTTGCTGCTAGAGTACGAATGCATGATTTCCTAAGTATAGTAGAAATCAAGGGCTTGATCTCATTGAAGTTGTCACACTCATGGTACCACCTAAGCCATCGGTAAACAATCCCTGAAAACCAGTCAATAATTTGAAGGTTATCTTGTAAGATGAGCAGTGAAGCCACACGAGGATATCCCGCAGAAGTGGTCAATCCATAGCGTAAGAGACGCTTCTTTATTGCATTGGCAGGAGCAATGATCTCAGTAACAGCAACATATCCAGTGTTTGAGCTTGAATTTGGTAAAAGAGCAAGGGTAGCTGCTGTCTCAGAAGAAACATATTCATTTGCACGGTTCAAGAATTCATAATAAGATTCCTTTAGTTCTTTAGGAAGTGCTGGTTCTACAACATACTTAGACAAGATCGAATCCTCATTCTCAGCCGCTTTGGCTTTAACATCTTGCATCCATACTTTAATTAAGACCTTGTACCAGTGATCAGTTTCCATCCCAGCTTTACGGAAACAAGAAATTTTACTCAAAGTAGAGTTACTGTCTGCTAAGTGCTCAATCTCCGACTCCTTAACCTTTTTTAAACCATGACCCAACCATTTCTTTCCAATTCTAACAGTCCCAGCATCCCAAGCATCTTGTTTCTGTAAAGCAACCAACTTAACTTTTTCCTTTAACTTGTGCACAGCTCTTGCTGCAGGACCTTCTCGCATGCTTCTTCTAACAGAGACTCCCAAAAACTGAATTCCTTTAGACCCATCGCATACTTGAATTTCTCTTTGCTCATCATCAAAATCCAAACCCAAAGCATTCTTAAAGAACCCTACAATCTCAGACTTAAAACTGAGAGCAACATCTTTGGAACCAGAAATTGCAAAAAGTACCTCATCCATGAACCGGCAACAATGAACTCTTGGGCTAGAATCGTCATTAACTCTGTCTTTAAGATCATTTTCTTTTAACTGTCTCCTAAACCAGTCACGCAACTTGGAATGTGACATATCTTCATTCTTATAAAAGCCTGTATTAAGAGCTTCATATCTCATAGACAATCTGTAAAATTCTTGATCGAAGAGGTCAAGATATATGTTCATTAATATTGGGGATAACACTCCCTCCTGTGGAAGACCATGGCCTTTCTGGAAACCTCCAAACTCAAAATTGAGTACATCTGCATCAAACATACTCTGGATAATAGCATATAACTGGTTGTCCTCTACTTTGTCCTTTAATTTGGAAATGAGCTTAGCAAGGATATTAACATCAACCTTTTTGTTTAAAATTAATGTGAACCACCAACTTGGAGCAACAATCTCTTTGCTGATGTATCTTAATGCAGTGGAGTGACCCCTCCCACTTCGACAGCCATGTGAAATTTTAGAAAAATGGGGCCTGTAGACAACTTCTAAAACTATTCTGATAGCTTCTTGAACAGTCCTCAACTTCAGATTTGGAAGGACAAGGACTTCTTTCCTCTTACCCCTTGTTGCCACAGAGAAGGTATTTGCTTTGACATCAAAACTCCCCTCAAGAAGTTCCTCTGCCAGGGACTTAAAACAAATAGAATCATCCTTCACCGATATGTCGACATTTGAGTTGAGCCTAATACAATCAAAAGCATCTTGAAGTGTATCTGGATTGGCAATCACTTTGGACATTAAGTTTTGAAACTTTCCACTTAAGAATTGCTCTTTTACTCTCTTTTTTACACGAAGTTCAAGAGACCTCTTGAGCTCCATTCTGCTCTTGGCTTTCCTCTCTTCTTGATGAAACGACTCCTCAACAAGACATGCCAAGTCCTTTGCCAACATCATCTTCTTAGGGACCTTTTTATAGTCATCACCGGTGGAAAAACAAGAATAACACGTCCAAGCATGAGCATTTTCAACATGTTTTCCTGCAATACGTATACACATCCAAATCAAATTCAATCTAAAATAAAACCCAAACTTCCTGATTATGCCATATTGACACCATAAGAAATGCTCATGGGCTTATTGAAAACCATCCATTCCATAAAATCCCATGAATTTTAAGCCATATAAGGGACAAAAAGACATTGACAAGAAACGCGAGGTATGAACTAATTATACTAACATCAAATTCTAAACAAAATAAAGTGCAAAAGAATTAAAAGCATACCCGTACGAAAGAATGGTGCTAAGTTCATTGTTTGAAGAAGGGAAAGATTCAGCAACTTCCCGCTGCGAATACTAAACAAGCCCCTAATCCGCATTTTTCTGAAAAGAGCTTCAAGAAGAAAAAATACCCATTAATGATTCAATTCGAAGATACTAGACTGAGACAAAGTAAAGCAGAATGTTCCTCTATTCCAGTCCAGACAAAGTTGTTTGAAGACGAATCATTTTGACAAACAGGTGGCGCGCGAGAGTTCTCCTCTTTTATTTTTTCCATTTGGGCCGCGTGAGCGGGCTGCTTTTGTAATGTGTTCTGGTACAATCTCATTCTAACGGCTATGTAACTTACGATAATAGACCCTTCTAAAGACATATTTGCAGATGGACTTGGGCCACTCGTCACCAAGAATATTGAATCTTTATTTTTCTTTTCCTTTTTTGAAGCGAAAGAACATTGAAGTTTAGTAAATGTTAATCATATTTTTTTTTTGAGGGAGTTAATCATAATTTTTTGAGTGCCATTACTGTAATTGATTGAATATTGGCCACAAAGAAAAGAAAAGGAAAAAAAAAGGCTAATGAATGAATAATCTGGACCTTTCTTTTGTATTTCTTTTACAATGACAGCACAGCACAGGTATGCTCAAATGCCTACTTTCTCTTGAGCATAATTTTTTTCATTTCAGATGCTTAGTTACTTACACTACAAACATCACCTAAAGAAAGAATCTGGGTAGTAAAATCCAAATCCGAATCTTGCCCCAAACTATATATCCATCACACAAATCAGATATCAGCGTAATCAGGCATTTTACATAAATATATGCTCCCAAATGAAGGCATCATTTGCATTTAAGATCAATCAAATTGAGGCTAATCAAGCATGTAGATACGGGAAGCAATATCTTGAACCAACCAATCAAACCCCTCAAGAAGCCCTTCACCAGTGTATGCACTACAGCCAACAATTTTCCAGTGCCGTGTTTTATCCATAGCTTCCAGGTTTAGAACCTGCAAAATTTTTATGTCCACGGTAAAGAACCAAAATAAAGTTTTAAAGAATACACAATTTGCAACAACATTCACATATATACCCAAAATTTATCAGCATTTCACATAAGAGGTTTGATAGCACAAAGTTTAGAGTCTAGACATGGCATTGTACTAGAACTTTTGAAACAAGCAGGTACAAGGAATCTAAGCACAAAAAACAAATGGTCTTTGGGTATTTAAGAAATAAAGAACTGAACTCTCAGTTTTTGCAATCTAACAAACACTGAAATTCAAAGATAAGAAGGTAAGAAGGTAATTATAAGTTGGTATCCTTACTTTAGCAATTTCAGCTGGTGTAAGAGCACCTTTAATATCCTGTTTGTTAGCTAGTATCAATAAGGATGCCCCTGATAACCTCTGCAACACAAAGAAAAAGAGTAACTACTCCTAAGAAGATAATCCAAAAAGAAATCCAGCCACAATGCATAACATTAGCTTAAAATGGTTTATTTTTTAAGAGAAAATCCATTGCAGCAACCTGAAATGCATTGTTCTAATATCCAGTTTATGCTGTAAAGTGTAAACTCTAACTTCAATCAGAAAATTCTAAGGTTGCATTTTGATTGGAGGAATAACAAGTCAAATAAGAAACCAAGCAATACCTCTTCCTTTAGAAGATTATCAAGTTCCATTTTGCAATCATCTAATCTTCTAAGATCAGAGCTATCAACAACCCACACCAAACCATCAGTTTGCTCAAAATAGTTCCTCCAGTATGACCTTATAGTTCTTTGACCACCCACATCCCATATATTCAGAGAATATCTGCCAAAACCCAAATCAAATCCAAATCAAACTCAGCATTACAAATTAAAAGAAAACAAAAAGTTTTCTTTCAAACACTTGGTGAACATAGCTAAGTTAATGATTAGAAATTATGGAAACTTTACTTTTGGTAGGTGATGGTTTTGATGTTGAAGCCAAGAGTGGGACTGATAACGCTTGTGTCCTCTCCATTGATCTTCAAAACAATGGTGGTCTTCCCTGAATTGTCGAGCCCACTGCAATTACCATTTTAGCTCAGATTTAAACATTTAAAAAGAATGAATAAGAGTGAGAAAGAGAGAGCTTACACCATGAGAATTCGCATTTCTTTCTCTTTTCTCTTGATTTTTCGAATGATACTCAGAAGCCCCATTTCCTTCTACTCAATGCCAAGATATCGACAGAAAATCAAAGATCAATCAACTGCAGATCCATAACTGGAGAAAATAAAAAATCAATAAATCATAGTCCATAGCTGGAGAGCCTGAAACATAATTTAGTTGAAGAAACGACGTCGCTCCTCACGCATGATTTTCCTTTTTCTCTTTCTTTCCTTTTTCTCTCTTTCCTTTTTCCTTTTTCATTTTAGCAGGCCTTGAATTGGGCTGATTGGGCTTCTTTGCATGTGCAATGGCCCAATGTTTGCAGATCAGCTAATTTTATTTACTATTTATTTATTTTGTATTTTTTTTTACCCATTTATTTTGTATTTTCCATAGCCCATAATCTTCTTAGGATGGATTAATGAGCATTACAGTCGTATCTATTTTAAATTTTTAATGCTTTACGACTATTTGAATCGAGCCGACCTACTATGAGATAAAAGTCTCCAATGATGTTGGTTTTCCATTCACAATACTCAACACCGAAACTTTTCTTAAGGAAAACAAATATCAAAATACTTGAATAATCGACCACATCAATGATCTCTATACATTAATTAATAAGAAAAAATAAATATATCAAGTAGAAAACCCCATCGGCAAATGGTTTAATGTACCCAACTTTTCAACCGGTAAAAATCTTTCACACTAGTTTCATCATTGTAAAAGGGCCTATTGTCTAAAGGTGGAATACAAGAACTCACTATAATTCTACCCAAAAAAAAATTAAAGTCAGCTCTTGACAATTAAAATTCTACAATTTAAATTACTTTACAAAAGGAAAAAGATTGGGGAACCTCATCATTACTTTGAAATAATAAAAAAAAATATACTCCGATTGAGTATACAAGAATATATTATATATAATTAATTTTTTCTTTTGTGTTCATCAATGATATGTGAAAAATAAATAAATAATAAACAATTTCTTCTAGATTATAATTTAGTCTCTTTTTTATATTGAAGAGAAGTTATTATTGACCAGCATTTTTTCTTATAATAGTGGGAAAATGAACAGCTGATATAGACATTTGTTCTAAGAAATTGGCAGAAATTGAGAAAATAAAAGGAGAGATTTGTTCAAAGTCCAAAAAAGAATAAGAATTTGGTGATATTAATCCTCCTTCCTTCTAGAGAGTTTTATTTAATTTGGGGTCTTCTTTGTTTTGTTCCTACTGTCAATTTGTCTTTGTCTCATTTGTGTCGATTGCATCATGTATCCAATTTTCTTTTTTTGCTTATCTATCTTCTTTACCTATTGTACGTAGGGGGGAAGATTTAAGATTTGTCCTTCTTGCCTACTCATTAATTAATTTGATAAATATATAATAATGGGGTTGATGACTTAGAAGAAGAAGAAGATATTTAAAGCATGTTGTCCTTTCTTTCACATTTTTGCCTTTGGGGATTTTCACAATAATAAATATTCTTTACAATTTGATTATATAAGGTTAGTGTGAAGGTTTTGTGGAGATTTAAAACTAAGTGCTTTCATTACAAGTATAACCTCTCATCACTCTAACCAATCCTCATTAGCAAGTGTATATAGTATACCAGCGAAAGTTATACGAAATTAGTAGATACACTTCCGAAAAGAAATTTTCATTCTAATGAGGATGGTTAAGGATTGAAATTCACTCGAAGGAGGTCTCAAATTTGAGACTCCACAATCTCTTGAATAGGCCTATTTCCCTATATATTTCTAATGCACAAAAAAATATGATAGAAATTATTTATCTCATCAACCAATCACTTAGTAGTCTAATAATTCTAGTAACACATCATTATTATTGTGACAAAACACACACCTTAAAAAATCTTTAAGCTATATAAATTCTTCTTTAAAAAAATGCATTTCTCTATTAGGAGTAATTAGTAAAAGATACTCTCTCTGTCCCTTTTTATAAGTCCCCTTCTAGAAGTTTTTTTTGTCTCAAAATACAAGTCCCCTTTCTAAACCAAATGCATATTTTACTTAACTTACCCAAGTTACCATTGCTAGTGGTAACAGAATTTATGAAGAGAGATAGTGAGTGGGAGGAGGAGAAAGAAAATGGTAAACTTGATAGGAGAAGATAAAAGATTATAGAATTTAGAACTTTAAATATATTTCTTAATATTTACAATACAGTTGAAACTTGAAAGGGACTTATAAAAAGGTACAGAGGGAGTAGTAATTTGTTTCAACCTTATTATTAAAAGTATAACTAGCATTTTTTTTTATTTCTACACAAAGAATTTTAATTATAAGAAGGAAAGAATGGCATAAGGGTTTTTAATTTAAAATGGGAGAAAACCTTGAATAAACAAAGAGTTATTAATTTTGGTAAAAAAAAAAGAAAGAAAAGAAGAGAGAGCTATTAATTCAAGTGAAAATATTAATTGTGATATTATCTCAATGTATTATATTAGGTGAGTGAAAATATTATTATTAATTTAATTAGATTATATTAGAATTAAATTAAATTTACTCATAATCAATTAACTTTACATAAATGTCGATAGGAGAAAAACCAAATATTGAACCTACAACACTTTAAAGATAACTTTAATAAATAGCAGGGTATAGAGGGTATAGATAAGAAGGAATCACCCAAATCATATTGACCGTTTGATGTGACGAAGAGATGAGTAAGGGACCCGATCGAGCTGCCGTTGGATGAATTGACTAAATTTTGTCCACTCAAAGAGTCTTAGTATTCGCATTTGACTAAAGACCAAATTAGCCACCCCATGGAGATGAGTGGTGTGGACGTATTATGTACGTTTTGGCAACTAGATAGACCAAATTAATGCATGCATCCAAATTCCAAAGCTCTAAATTATTTTCCATTAGGTATATTTATATATACTCTCTTTATGCTTTTATATTATCGTGTTATATAGTATCTTTGAAATTCTTTGAATTCTTACTAAATTAAGTATAGGAGGGATCTCCTTGAACAATCTAAGATCTCTGTCTTGAAGCTATCTTTTTATTCTTTTTCAATGTCGAGATGACATCACTTCCAAATCTAAACCAATCTTGATCATATGAAAATTACGAGCCCAACACTCTTTTGACAAATTGTATTACGGATCAACATTTTGCTTAAAATAAAAAGACAAATTCAGGGTAAAAAGAGATGATGATGAGGTAAAGAAGAAGAAAAGGTCGTCTGAATTCCTCTGTGGCAATAACTTTGCTTTGAAAATCTCTCCCATCCCCCGAAAACAAGCATTAATTCGGAAGAAAATATGCAAATCTTGAGTACATCTCAAAAGAATGTTAGAAATTATGCATATGATCTCATTTCATTTCTTAATTTATTTTTAGCTTAAAATCATGAAAGTCTTGTAATCTTTTGCTTCAAAAGTCCAACTCCATGATATGAGTCAAGATATGGGTTTTTTACGTTAATTTAAACCAAAAGATTTTGTTTTCTCCTTTGTGGCTTCTTCTATGAGACCATTTGTTTTATAATGAACCATATCGTTAGCTATTTTCGGTTCAAGACAAACGATTACCTTATATAAAATGAGGTAGGAATTTTGGTGAAATAAAAAAGTATTTTTCCCAAGTATACTTTTCCTTGAATCCAAAGTATCCAAACATAAGTTGCCCATGTATATACTACACTAATAGTTCAAATAGGGACATGACCTTTAGGAGAAAGGTCATTTAAGGGCTTAAACTTCACAAAATGTCAAATAGGTGTCCAACCTTTTTGATTTGACATTTTCAACAAATCATTTCTTTTTCTGATATAAAAAATATGGGATGTATTATATATATAAAACATAGAGAAGCACATTTTCATAAAATTTGTGGATATATATATATAAACTAGAGAGAAGCACATTCCATTATCCACAAATTTCATAGAAATGAATGTCCTTAATTGACCCAAATCAAAAAGATTGGACACATATTTGACCTTTTTTAAAATTTAGACTTTAGACCCTTAAATAACCTTCCCTAAAGGTCAGACACCTGTTTGAACTTTTAATCTATTTACTATATACATGTATAATTAAGAAATTACAATATCACATCACATTATATGAACCAATGTTTTGGAGAACGATTGACTATGATAGAAAATTACAATACCCTATTGTGGAAAATTTCCCACTACCAAAAGAACCCCAAAAATGTTTAAAAACAAAATGTGGGGTGACTAAGCTTGCAAAATGAGCTCTAGATCTTTACCTTGGCCTAATAATTGGGACGTACTGTCTATTTTAACCCCTCATTTATCATCATCATATATCATAGTAAGAATAAAATGACTTCATATCTTTTATTTGGTACAGTTTTACTCTCAAATTTTGAATTTTGATCAAATTAACTCAAATTAGATGAATTTTAAATGGTTATATATAAGCACTTAATAATTTTAAATTGGTGATTAAAACCTAAAATATAAATCTTAACAAAAGTTTATCCATCTTTAGTTGATTTTAACCAAACTGTTTAAGAAAAATGACAAACTTGTAATAATGATTTAAAATGATTTTGGATAAAGAAATTAGGAGAAGCTATTCCGAGGTGTTGATACCTCAATTTACACTTGAGGGTAAATATGTCCTTGATAATGTTAGAACAAAATATGTGGCTCATGTTTAATCTAAAAATCTAAGCTAGGTCAGAATTGATGCCACCATTGTTATAATTAAATTAGGAAAGTAATTTTATTTTCCTAATTTCCTATAATTGGGCCGAAATTAGCAATAAATATTGCAAAATAATAATTATTTTATAATTATTATTATTTCAATAAATGATGGTCATAAAAGAATTAAAGTCATCTTGTATGATCTTCAATTTTAATGGAGACTTAATTCTTATATGACGACCATCCTAATTTTGTGAAATACATAATGTCATGTCTAAATTAGATATGTTGCATGATATATATGGCGCAATATGGCCTAGTCCAAACCGCCCATGCCCAAATTTGATCTCAATTGAATTAAATACAATTTTATATTTTGTTCAATTAAGGAC